GGGAGGGGGCATATAAAAGATGGAGAGGGACTCGAGACATATGAGCGAGGGACACACTTTCCCATCTCCAACAGGCTACCAAAAACAACGGTTTAGGCCAGGGGTGTCAAACTCATTTTTGTCATGGGCCATATTTTAGTTACCGTTTCCCATGGAGGGCCGTTATGACTGAAACCACATAAAGAAGTCGAAAATAACAGTTGACTCCAATTTTGTTTAAGTTACTGTCATGACAAGCTTGGTTCCAAGAAAATGCTTACAATATCCTTCTTATTTATTAAAGATGAGAATTTGAAAATGTGGGACAGATTTTAGCCGGCATCGTGGAAGTTGACATGTTTGATTTGCTTTTGCGGGCCACATAAAATGAGGTGGCGGGCCGGATCTGGCCCCCGGGCCTTGAGTTTGACACCTGTGGTTTAGGCCATCTTGCATCCTGTTCTCTATTCATTTTTCTGACAATTCCTGATGAAAATACTCCAAGGCACTGTAATAACGGTTCTATTTATTCCACATGTACAACCAATATTCAGCACTTACACGCTGTTTATACGATTACCCATAATCATGTCATTTGTCATTGTTCCGTTATGATGTCAATGTGCATTGTCAGGCGCACGTACTCTGCATACTAATAGTTTGCAGATGTTGCATACACTATTCATACTGGGCGTATCATAACGCAACAATACGTTTCTTCTCACTGCCAATATGATGCGACTCACTTTTACCAATTGTATAAATACTGCTCTAGCATAATTAGACTGTATATATAACTTCCCACAGACCAGCAGGCATCACATCTCATCTTTTTCTTCATCTTCCTGCTTTGATTAGATTTAAGTTTCTATTCATACTTTTGTCCTTATATTCTTTTGGGTTTTTTTCACTACTGTTGCTCATATGTTACTGTATATTTGTGAATATTGCTTCTGTGAAAATGTTATTTCCCCCATGAATAAATATTTATTGATTGAATGATCAATTTTAGCATCGTTAAAATTTTTATGTCCTGATTATAATTCGAACCTTGCTAAAATTCCCTGCCGCTCAGCCTGGGCAGGAACGCTGACTTCAAAATAATTCACCTTGCTCCTCTTCACTTATTCAATTGGTTATATTACTTTCAATGTACTACTCTTTGTTTTTTTTTTTTAAATTAAGGGTTTATCCTAATAATTTGTTTGTACGTAATTACAGCACATTGAAGGTGAATTTTACCCGAGGTTTTGGCGCCCCTTATAGTCCACGGTGCTCAGAGCATGTAGTCAGTTGTGAAATCTGTACTGGTCAGCGTCTCAAGTATCTTGGTGGCCCAACACAGCGCCATAGTGGCCTTAGGCCACCATTAATGTCGGTTTCTCTCTCTCTTTTTTTTTTCCAGAACAATTAGTGCTGCGGATTTAGCGAGTTAGCGTTCAGGGATTTCAAGAATAACATATGAACTATCCAGAACATTTGGCAATTCTGTTATTATGTATTCAGGTATTTCAAAAAAAAAATATTAAAATTGATTCATTATATTCACTTATAAATTAAAAAATTGAATCATGTATTCAACTGTGGGTCAGAAATCGAGTTCGAGATGTAATCTTAAATTTGATGTAGCATTACAGACTAACAAGCTAGCCCCTCTCATCAATGAACACACAAATGTCTTGTCTTCAGAATTAATTGACCAAAATTCACACACAAAATCTCCTTGTTGCAAGGTGGTCGAACTGTTACATTGGGGGCCTAACTGCATATTTTCAGTCACTTTTCGGTTCCCATCCTTTTTGTAATGGATGCTAACCAGCATCAGGGCAGACTTACTTGTACAGGCTGCAGAAGGAGGGTCAGAGAAAGCTCGGTAGTAGCCGTCATCACAGTCACAGCGCCGGGAGCCCTCACGGTCAACAAAGCTGTGCATTGGGCAGCGAGAGCACTGGAGATCCTGGGAAGAGGTTTTGTAGTAACCGCGACCGCACGCTGTCGAGAAAGTAAAAAGAGACAAAACAGGAAAAGTCAGACAGCTACATATAAATATAAATGCGCTTAATTATACAGCCCCGAGAGCCTTAAGGTCTTAAATGTATGATGTATAAATGTAATACTATCTATCATCTTTTCCCATCCCAATTAAACTCTAGACATGATATACAGAGTAAAATTTGGTATGTTCTAATCGTACATCCATCCATCCATTTTCTGATCCGCTTCATCCTCACAAGGGTCGCGGGGGGAATCTATCCCGGCCGTCTTCGGGCAGTAGACGGGGGACACCCTGAACCGATTGCCAGCCAATCGCAGGGCACACAGAGACCAACAACCATCGGCGCTCACACTCACACCTGGGGACAATTTAGAGTGTTCAATCAGCCTGCCACGCATGTTTTTGGAATGTGGCAGGAAAAAGGAGTACCCGGAGAAAACCCACGCGGGCCCAGGAAGAAACATGCAAATTCCACAGAAGGAGGCCGGAACCGGAATCGAACCCTGCACCTTCGCACTGCGAGGTCAATACGGTAACCACTGGACCAACGGGCCGCCTCTAACCATACAGTACATTGAAATTCAGAGAGAACCAATAGAGGATGTCGAAGGTGTTTCAATTCCAAGCATGATTCCACTGTACACGTTGTACTTCTGTTTTTCTGTTATATTTTTTTTCACTGGGATAATTACAAGCAGAGTAAAATCATATTTTGATCACAAATCATTTTTTTTCTTTCAACTTTTCACAGGTTGAGGGAACCAATTTAATTTAGGCAAAGGTGTGGTATTTCTGTACTACCTACACGATTGGACTGTATATTTTTAATCAGATGACGTTGAATTAAAACCTTTGGTGAGCGTCTGCGCTTCTCTGATGTTATTTTGCCAAATTATGTGGTTATTACTGAACTTCTTTTGATTAAAAAGCATGGCTTGAATCTGTTTTCTGACAATGCCAGTTACAGAAGGGTGAAAAGTATCTTGTTGCAATGTTGATGTTTAGCTGCTCTGAATGTCCACACCGACAGTACACTCAGACACTGTCACCACACCTGTCTTTAGGAGGGCACATGAAATGCACGGGGAGCAACATTATTCTGACAATACAAACAAATACATGCGTTGCTCGAAGGTAACTGTGCAACTCCTACAGATTGTGTGGCTTCAGACAGGACCACTCACAATTTGTGATGTCGCTCAATGCAATGTTGTGTCATGTTTATTTCACGCGGTGTACTGTAACATAACGCTGTACTGATTTGCTTCGTTGGTCATAATTTTTGCCAAGTGAGCACAAGCACAACACTGCACTCTGGTGCAGTATCTTCCCCGCCACCCCCATCTAAAACACCTTCAAAAAATGATGGATGATTCATTTTTTTGGCGACTAAATCCGTTGAGTTATGTTCTTCTCGCCCGTGTGTGACGCACCCGTTGCTTCCGCCCTCTGATTTGTCATTGGCTGGCTTCAGTGGACTTGCCACGGCAAGCATAAAATTGGGTTTGTGGTTGGTTGGCCTTAGTGTTGCATTCGCATGTGCAAGCAGTTTCAAGCAGGCAAAACCTAAATTGTTGATTTTGAGATATGAATATCTTGAACGTTCATATCTAGATATTGCTAGTAGAATAAGATCTTCAGCCACACAGCAAAACAAATTTATCCACATAAATAACTGCTCTTCCTCCACTGCCCCCTTGTCCCAAGGTGTCCCCCAAGGTTCCGTGCTTGGTCCTCTTCTCTTCACCCTCTAACTTTTACCCCCCAGCCAAATCATTTGTCATCATGGTCTCCGCTTCCACTGCTTACGCTGATGACGTATTATTGTAGAGCTCCACCAAATCCATCACCCCATTAACCTACTCCACCCTGTCTGTCATATAAAATCCTGTATGTAAATCAACTTTCTCATTCTCAACTGCACTAAATCTCAACTGCTAATAATCGGCCCGAACTCCCTGACCCAAACAGCCTCCAGCTTTAACCTCACGATCGACAACTCCACCAAAAACATTTCTCACCTCTGCCGCTCACTTTCTTTCAACGCCGCTCAAACCCTCGTTTGCGCCATCACCTCCCGCCTTGACTACTGCAATAGTATCCTCCATGGTATAACCTCCAAATTCCTTAATAAACTACAAAACATCCAGGATGCTCAGTTCTTGTTGTAAAGTGTATGAGTACTCTGAAAAGTGCTTTCAAGTAAAATGTGTGTGCGTGTGTGTGTATATACATACATATACACACATACATAGACACATCTAGATATATCGCTATATCTATCTATCTCTCTATCTATCTATCTGTCGATAGATAGATGTAGATATATATCTATATCTATATAGATATAGATATAGATAGATAGATATAGATATATATATGTGTGTGTGTGTGTGTGTGTGTGTGTGTGTGTGTGTG